TTTTCTGCTAGCTCAGGCCGGTGCAGACCTGAGTCGCTCTGCTTATGACGTTATGTCCAAGATGGCGCCTGCTCTTTGTCTTGCTCGCCCTTGAGAGGTGAGCGGAGAGAGAGAAACCCGTGTCCGTACTAGTCACCCTTTTTTTTTTTTTCTCTCTCTCTCTCTCTTCCAGTTAGCCTTGTGAACTTCCCCCCCCCCCCCCGGGGGGTCGTTCCCTCTAGTCTCCTCTCTCCGCTTGCCTGCCGGTGTCTCGGGCTATTGAGGTTTGGCTCACCTCGCGTTCCAGCGCTGGTGTGTTGAGTCTGCCGCTGATGTCCCAAACTGTGGGCTCCCACGCTGTCCACGCAGGTCCGCTGTGAGTCACGCGTTCCGGAAGAGTTTCTTCTGCTGTTGCCTCCCCTACTCTTCCTTGAACCTGCAGTATCTCCACTTTTATTAAACTATCTCTCCCCAGACTATCAGTGTGCTCCCTTCCTATTCCGCCATCTTGCCGGGAGTCCCTGATTATTTTTCAAATAAACCCAAAAACTTTAACCAAATAGACCTTTTCTAGAACAAATTGTTATGCATTGAATTTATAGGAATACATCATATAGATACATAAGACAGCACCTAAAGGGAATATTTGTAAAGGGGACTGAGGAGCCTCCAAAGCAGCTATACAGAGGACAGACCAGGCAGTGGCTCAGTGACACAAGTCTTGTCACCGTGGGAGCAAGTTGCTGTAAAAATCAGACCACAAACAAAACGTCAAATTCTGTATGACACAGTCATACAAACGTCTCTACTTTGGAACCTTTGAATGGGTTGCAATGTCAAGGTTAGTGTTGGGCAATGTCCCCATACCAGTGCATATCTCTGGTACCTGGGGCAGAATTCCAACACTGTTGCTTGCAGGATCTGGTGACATGAGAGTGCCCAGCAGGTGCCAGAGAGAGCCATAGCAGATGTCCTGTAAGAGTGGGATGATTCACGAAGCCACCTGAATTCCAGAGGCACCTGATTTCAGAGAGCACTTGCGCTTTCTAGAAGCCCTTAAGAAACTTTTCTAAGGTGCTGGCGTCCTGCTTGGTGGAGGCAAGAGCCAATAAACTTGGATTCTAATTATTAGTGTGAATCTGTTTGTAGTCACATATTGTGGGCGACCGGGAAAAAAAACGCAGCTTTCGGTCACATTCGTACGAGAAGATTCCAGTAAATACCTGTAATCCTGCATCTGAGCCTGGGATTGGGGGGTGGAGGGGCGGCTCCCGAGCCAGGCCACGCCCCCGAGCCGCTGCCGGGCCAACTGGGAGCTGGAGCCCGCCGCGGCGCGCGCGACTTCCGGCGTCTGTGCGCACAGGCCGTTCTCGAACTGCGGCCACCGCCGCCTCGACGCCGGCTTCTGCCAGTGCTGGCGCTCGTCTGCCCCGACCTGGCTGAGGCGTTGGACCTCCAGTGGTCGTCTCCTTCAGAGGCAAGCAGAAGTTTAATTTCAGAGGAAATTTGTCCGTCCCCCTCGCTCCCCGCCAGTTCCATGAAATAAGACTTGAGAACTTGGCCTCCCTGTCTGACTTGCACACCTTTTGTTTGGGACCATGCGCTGGAAGGAGTGGAGAGATGGCTGCCAACCAGCCTGCTCCCTGCTGGTGGGACAGTCGAGCTATACTTGAAAGATTCAGACTTTTTAGGAAAAACTGTTGGCTACTGAATGAAGTACAGAAAAAGTCACGAAGGAAGGCAAGAAATTTCACCGAGCGGGCCGTACAGCTGCCATCTTTATGATATCCACGTGCCTGTTCCGCCAAAGTACACGCACGTTTATCCTAAGAACTCTGCTTAGCAAGTTCGGAGCCATTTGTAGGGTGCCGCTGCTTGGTGCGCTGGCCCGCTTGATGGAGTGCTAATGAATAATGAGAGTTGATTAAACTTACTTGAAATGTAAGGAACATGGTTGGGTTCCTGTAAAAGTTATGATGCAGTTTCGTATTTCAAGCTCTCTTGCTTATTTGTGTCTTTAAACTTTACAGTATGCCAGAAGTATGGAATTTATTAAGTATTAATGATCTTGCTACCAAAACAAGGATTCCATGAGCGATTTCTCATCTCAGAAGTTTAAATGCGGTGTTCTACTGCCGTTGTTCTCCTGCTGGTCCGCTGTGTGCACTTTCTTTCCCAAGGTGCTTTCCAGGGTGACCCATGAGTTTCTCACACTTTCCGTTGGAATTAAGGAAAGCACGTGTGATTAGATGGTGAGCAGTCGGTAGTTAATGCAAAGAGAGATGTGGTATTCAATTAAATTTTATTTTTTATTATTTTATAAGTATTTTTTCACCTTCTTTTGAAAGGAATGTTTACTGATTAAGGGTGGGAAATCATTCTTTTTCAAGCTCTTGACTATATCGTACAATTGAATTCATTTTTCATGAAATGTCTCCATTCCCTGCCAATACAATAAATAATAAAATAAAGACAATGATAAATACGAAAAAAAAGTCCTGCAGTTGAACAGATAGATGTTCTGTGATTTGGTATCCTTAAAGAGCTTTTTGAATGCATGTTAACTGTCATGTTACTGTTTTGAAGTTCAATAGTATTATACATATTCTTAAGTTTTGTTTTTGAAAATAGAATTCATAAAATATGTTAGATAAAACTTTATGCTAATGGTTTTTTAAAAATATTTATTACAATAGCTTTGAGGAAAGATGTTTTAATGGCCAGGAGTCAGAAAGCTAATTAGTGATTCTTGATTTTCTACTGAGAAAAAAAAGAACAACTTCCAATACATATTTGCTTAACAGTGCATTTCAGAGAGTAATCAATTAACATATATTTGCTAGATAAAATTTTCTGATAAGGCCAGTAGGTTACAGGAAGTGAATTTACATTTCAGGTCACCTAGCAATGCAGAGATTTAAAAGGGGCCAGCATTGTGGTGAAGTGGGTTAAGCCTCCACCTGCATTGCTGACATCCTGGCTTGTGTTGTGGCTGCTCTGCTTCTGACCCAGCTGCTTGCTAAAGTGGCTGGGAAGGCAGTGGAAGATGACCCAAATCCTTGGGCCCCTGCACCCATATGGAAGACCCAGATAAGTCTCCTGGCTCTTGGCTTCAGCCAGGCCCAGCTCCAGCCATTGCGGCCAATTGGGGAGTGAATCAACGGGTGGAAGATCAATCTCTCTCACTCCTTCCCTCCCTCCTTCTCTCTTACTGTAACTCTGCATTTAAAATAGGTCAAATCTTTAAAAAAAATTAGGAGGATTATGCTTTCCAGTGTGAGATCAAAAAGCAAAATGCAGCAAAAACAAAGAACCATAAATACGTGTCAAAAACTGCAAATAAGAAATTTGTTAATATGCTTTCATGCATCCTTTACTAATACAGAAACAAATGTCCTATAGATTGTGTTAAAACCTCTTCTTAGTTACTACTTTTTATTAGTGGAAGCAGAACATATATGATTTATATTTAATTTTCTCCAACATGCTATTGATTGAGTTTTACATACTTATCTGGGGAAATTCTTGTTTGTATTGACAGGAAGTCTGGAGTGTCCAAAGGTATCCATTTCTTCTGTGGAAAAAACCTCACTTGAAGACTATGTGCCATCATTTCTACTTGAAGACTATGTGCAGTGGGTATCAGATTATTCCTGTTGGCATCAAGCACTGTAAAACTGTCTTTCATTACTGGTTGGCTTAATGATTGAAATGATAGAAATAGAAATTTCATAACAAAATGCAGCTTACCTGTTGGCTATTTCAATTGAAAATAGAAACTAGACTCATAATTTAGATGATTCCATATTATTACAAATCATTACAGTAAATTCGTAGTCCTGATAGCATATATGCAGTAGCTATAGTGCTGAAATCTATAGAATGATGATTTGAAAACTTAAAAAGGATGTTGTGAACTCAGTGTCTTTCAAAAATATCACAGCAACACTGTAATTTTTATTTGTGTTTTGTTGATTTTGCACTAGTATTCAAAATTTTGAAATGGTCTTGTGTTGTTGCGTTGTCATCTTGATAGCGCCAATTGAAAGCTAGCTTATATGTTTTTGGAGATGACTTGATGGGGGAGAATGTACCCTTTCACTTTTTAACTTTATCCCATACAGAGTCTTTGGGAAAATCCCAAGAAAGTTACCTACTTAAGTCTTTTTAATGTCTACAATGTCTATAATCCTGTTTATTTGGAAAGTCTATTAAGCTTATATATGTTGTAAACTACATTTTATGAAGCCCTGCATCCTGACTCAGAAGGCACTTGGGGATCTTTACTGGTTTATCTGCCCTTGCATTTCACAGGCTTAAGCATTTGCCTCTTTATTTAAACAAACAAGTAAGCTCAATTAATAACAATGAAACAAATCCCTAATTATCAAAGTGACACATACTCATTAATGCAGGAACAAAGCAAATCACCCACAGTGCTTTTTCTCCAGGAAAACTGCTGCTCCTGGTTGGAATTCTTTTTTTCCAGGTGGGTGTGGACGTACAATTTTTGCTTTTGTCTTTAAACCTCAGCATTGCAGGTGTCAGGTGGTCTGTGAGCCATCCAACCTTTATTCCTCACTAGTTCAGTGTTATGTTGGAACTGAGTCTTATTTTTTCATTGGCTTCTTTTCTCCTAATACCCACACAGTGGATTGGGGTCCAGTTATTATTCATTCACCTCCTTTCTTACACTTAGGGGATCTACCTGAATCAGTAACATGATTCAGAATATTCTTGTAGCCAAGTCATGTGGACACATGGAAGTTTTCTCTAATTTGTATATTCAAAGCAGTGCATTATAAACTAAAACATGCTCATTATGACTAATGGTCTTTTCCTAAGGCAAGATAATTACGACAGTGTCCTTAAGAAATTCTCCATATAATTGGGGTCAAATTCATATACAGTTTTGTGGCATTGTTTTCATTCAGCATTATATCACCAACATTTTGCATGCAACTAAATATTTTTCAAAAACACTATTTTTAGCGGCTTCAAATACCATTAATTTTTTAACATTTATTTGAAAGTTACACAGAAAGGTAGAGATAGAGAGAGGTCCTCCATCTGCTGGTTCATTCCTCAAATGGCTACAACAGCTGGAGCTGAGCCCATTGAAGAGAGCCAAGAGCTTCTGGGTCTCCCACAAGGGTGGAGGGGCCCAAGGACTTGGGCTGTCTTCCTCTACTTTCCCAGGCACACTAGCAGAGAGCTGGATCAGAAGTGGAGCAGCCGAGACTCAAACCGGTGCTTATATGAGATGTTGGTACTGCAGGCTGGGGCTTTAGCCTGCTGAGCCACAGCACTGGTCCCCACCATTAATTATTTAACTAATTTTCTGTTTTAGGATATTTTGGTCATTTTTCATGCTTTAAGAACTCTTTGCTATTGTAACACTGCAGTGAAAATACTGGTATGTAAACATTTGAGTTTATTTAAGATTATTTCCTTGAAAATACATATCTTAAAGGATCCAATACCCTCTTAATGGGTCTCTATTATTTCATTGTTTATCCCCTGCCCCATTGCAGCCCAAAGAATCTTCCTAAAACATCAGTTATGTCATACCATTCCATGCTCAACAGCCCTCAGTGATTTCTCATTGCCTGTAGAAAAAAAACCTCCAAATAATTCAGCCTGAGGATTGAAGAAGTTGAGAGCCTTGTTCCTTCCAATTTCTCTAATGGGTTTCACCTGAAGTAAGTAGGCTCTTTGGGATGGCTCTATTCTCACCTAGCACCCACCTTGAGGACTTTCACCATACGTTGTTTCCAGTGCTGCCTCCCTCTCTCAATCCCAAAGCAAGCACATAGTACAGTTCCATCCCAGCTTTGATGTGTGGGCTGTGTTGCTCTTCACAAAGGAAAATATTTTAAGTCATCCTCCGATGTCTCAGTTCTTTCCCCAAGGTTTCTCTCCTTCATCTGATACTATATGAATTTGTAATCAGTCTTCCCCCTGTCCCACCCTCAACTTTTCTGAATATATTAGGATACTTCCTTGCCCATCTCTGTAAATGCATTGTAAAAGGTCAGTATGTACACATAGCAAACTTTATACACCGTTTCAACTTTTTTTTAACAAATGTTTATTTTTAGATTTAAATAATAAAATTATATATAATATATATTTTAAAAACTTACAGGGTTATAAAATACAATGGCAGTGGGATTATGAAATTCCTCTCTAAATTTTTAAAGATCAGAGAATTTTTTTTTTTTTTTTTTTATGGCAGGCAGAGTTACTGAGAGAGAGAGAGACAGAGAGAAAGGTCTTCCTTCCGTTTGTCACCCCCCAAATGGCCGCTATGGCCGGCGCGCTGCACTGATCCGAAGCCAGGAGCCAGGTGCTTCTCCTGGTCTCCCATGCGGGTGCAGGGCCCAAGGACTTGGGCCATCCTCCACTGCCTTCCTGGGCCACAGCAGAGAGCTGGACTGGAAGAGGAGCAACTGGGACAGAATCCAGCATCCCAACTGGGACTAGAACCCGGGGTGCCAGTGCCGCAGGCGGAGGATTAGCCAAGTGAGCCACGGCACTGGCCTGATCAGAGAAAATTCTAATTGTGGTTCCATCCATGACTTTTCTCTGAACATCTGAAAAACACTCTACTTTGCTACCGTCCTTTCCTACATTTCCTACTGTCCTTCAAAGTCTGATTCAAGTTCTGTAGTTTAAAAGAGACTGCCTTTATTATGGAAGCCTATAGTTTTGCTGTCAAGTCATATGATAGATTGACATCTTTGGTCTTCATCTTGGGCATACTAGATAAAGAAGAGTCCATTGGCCATCAAAGAAGGAGGTACTGTTCTCTGAAGGGAGGAGAGAACCTCCACATTGATTATGGCCTTGTCTAAATAATGTTGGAATTTGTGGACTCAAGAGGCTTCCATAACCTTGGCAGTTCATGATAAGAGCCTTGGGTGATCACTAACGTCATAAATAAAAGTGTCAATTGTTAAATCAACAATAGGAGTCACTGTGCACTTGTTCCCCATGTAGGACCTCTGTCTTTAATGTGTTGTACTATGAGAATTAACGATACAACTAGTCTTCAAACAGTACTTTATACTTTGTGTGTCTGGGTGCAAATTGTTGAAATTTTTACTTAGTATAGAGTTGATCTTCTGTATATAAAGATAATTAAAAATGAATCTTAATTAAGAATGGAATTTGAGAGGGAGTAGGAGATGGGATGGTTTGGGGGTGGGAGGGCGGGTATAGGGGGAAGAACCACTATAATCTAAAAGTTGTACTTATGAAATTTATATTTATTAAATAAAAGCTTTCTATTAAAAATATGAATATAACCAAAAAATGAAGAGTCCATTGAGTAGCAATATGAACCATGAAAAATGATTCACAATTACTCTCTACTTATGTTACTCTCTTCTTCATATGAATTTTGCTTTTTGCATTTGGTGAGGGGCAATGTTTACAAATGCATTGCTCTGTATGTGATCTTGGAAATGTCATAAATCCTTCAGGGGTTTCTTTATTGAGAATAGATAGGGATGGTACTAGGTGCATCTTCTAATGTGCTTTCTGATTCAAAAAGTGCATGATACTGTTAGGTGATATGATTTTGCCTGGCTTCATTTGAAGATGGTTACTTTCTTTTTAAAAGATTTGGAGTAACTTTTTTTTAAATATAAAATGCTTAATTGGACAACTCCATGTAATCTATTTGATGTAGTAGAAACAGCATTAATTTTGAAATTAAAGAGATTTGAATTTGAATTCTAGCTCTAGCAATACTGAATTATTTTATCTTAAGTTATTTAATCTCTTTCAGTATAGAAATGGGGATAATAATCTTTGGGTCATGGACTATGGAGACTCCCAGTGCCTGACACATCATATACTCTCAGTAAGATTTCCTTTCTTCCTTGATCAGTGACTTTGGTTTGTGAAAGACATTTATAAAGAAGCAAATTTTATATGTGTTTATACATCAACTGATGAAATTCAGCAAGTACAAGGTGTTTGTTTTATTTTATTTTTATTTTATTTTATTTTATTTTGAGAGGCAGAGTGGACAGTGAGAGAGAGACAGAGAGAAAGGTCTTCCTTTTGCCGTTGGTTCACCCTCCAATGGCCACCGCGGCCGGCGCGCTGCAGCTGGCGCACCACACTGATCCGATGGCAGGAGCCAGGTGCTTCTCCTGGTCTCCCATGGGGTGCAGGGCCCAAGCACTTGGGCCATCCTCCACTGCACTCCCTGGCCACAGCAGATAGCTGGCCTGGAAGAGGGGCAACCGGGACAGAATCCGGCACCCCGACCGGGACTAGAACCCAGTGTGCCAGCGCCGCAAGGTGGAGGATTAGCCTAGTGAGCCGTGGCGCTGGCCAAGGTGTTTGTTTTAAAACAGAGCTGTGATAAGTATGAATAGGTACAAAGAGTTTGTATCATCCTTGCTATAACTCCAGGCAGAAATGCAGAGCCATGATGGGCCTCAGTATGATTTTCTTTATTATAGGACTTTAGATTGTGGCTAGGAACAGAAGGTTATAAAAGTTGAATGCATCTTTGATGATTAAATTTTCCTGGTCAGTGTAGTCATCAACCAGCAATCTTAGCCAGGGTCCAAGACAACTTGGCCTTATCTCAGTTACTGTGTAATATCTGAGATGCTTTCAGGGCCAGTACCTATACTTAATAGGTCTCATGCCCAGCAAACATTGAGGGGCCTGTGAAATTGTTTTCATTCCTTTTAAAATTGGTAGGAAAAAAGAATTTCAGGTGGAAGAAAATGTTTTAATATATAACATTAATATATTCATCCTTATCCCAATGTAGTTGTAAAATATAGCTTTAATTTTTTTTTAATGGAGGAAAGAGCCCACAAAATAAAGTCATAATATAGCCCTAGATGCTTTAATGGAGCTTTAGACTTTCTTACAGGAGCCATATCTTCTGAATGGGTCTGCCTGGATAGTGTTGTGTAAACCACTTTCACCCTTTCCTGAGATACACCAGGACAGTGGGCTGATCAGTGTGTCAGAGTCCCATCCCACTTCATGCTCCTTTCTGTTTTTATTTGTTTTATTTTTGGGTTATCACCCAAGCATGAAAACAAAACAATAAAACAGGTATGTACAGTAAGCCCCCAAATCTCCTAAGCATGAGACTAAAATCTTGGGCGGAGAGAGCTTCCTCCTATCCTACACTTAATGTTTTTTAATATATATAAACACTTTCATGAATATTAATGAATTTGTAAAGGAAACTTTTGGGAAAATTAAACAAAAGCAAAAAAAAAAATCCCAGTAATCTAATAATGGCTGAATAAAAGAGAAAATATGACTTACTTAAAGACAGGGAATGTAGAATACAGCTGACTTTCTAAGATATGGCAAAGCAGATGTGAGAAGGGAGCCATGTGTCGTAATGTTTCAGTATAAATGATCCCTGTGTGAAGGAGGACATTTGGTCTGTAAGTGAACTGACCTCAGCTCTGCCTTTTAACAGTCTGGTGGCCTGAGTCAAATGGGGTTCGGCCATTGTAATTCTAAGCTGACTATTCCTGAGGGTTTGACTCTGAGAGTCCACCTTAATGTTGAAGGAAGCTGTGGGTGGAGTGGGCTGTAAGTTGGTTAGAGAGCAAAGCCAGAAAGTGTTTTCTGCCACCATTGGATTCCTAAGCTTTACTTTTCAGTGTAGATCAATCATTTTAGATGAATAATAACTCAATAACACATCATGTGGACTTACTGTGTGTGTGTGTTTTAGACATGGGGCACAACATTTTATACGAATTAACTGTTTGATACACATAGCTCCTGGCTCCTGGCTTCTGATCAGTGTAGATGGCCATTGTGGCCATCTGGGGAGTGAACCAGTGAATGGAAGATCCCTCTTTGTCTCTCTCTTTTTGCCTCTGCCTTTCTGTAACTATGCCTTCTAAGTAAATAAATAAATCTTAAACAGAAAAAAAAGGAATAGCTGGGTACCTTGGAGACAGAAATTATACTAATTACAATTAAAAATATATCCCCCAAATATGCCTAATGATAGTAGCTTAGATTTTATCACTTGCAGTAATTTTGGCACAAATCATTCAGTGGGAAATATGGTAGGACAGTAAAAAAGTTTTTTTCCTTTTTAAAATTTTTATTAGTATAAAGAGAAGAGATTTCATGTATTTTACAGATACAGTTCTGAGATGACAAGTATACTCCCTCTGTCCCTCAATCCCCCCTCCTTCCTCCCCTTCTCCTTTTTCTTTAACTTAAAAAAGCTTTTGTTGGGTTGGGCTTGTGGCATAATAGGTTAAGCTGCTGATTGCTCTGATCTGGCTCCCTGCTAATGCACCTGGGAAAGCAGAGAAAGATGGCCCAAGTGATTGAGCCCCTGACACCCTGTGGGAGAGCCAGAAGAAGCTCCTGGCTCCTGGCTTCAGCTAGCCTAGCCCTGGCTGGTTGAAGTCATTTGGAGAGTGAACTAGCAGGTGGAAGATCTCTCTCTCTCTCCATGTAACTATGCCTTTCAAATCAATGAATCTTATTTTTTTTTAAAAAAAAGCTTTCACCAGGCAGATGCTTAAAAAAATTCTGCATTTATAAGACAGATTTAAAGTATTGTAATAGTTGCAGTGCTACTCATTATTTGCATACAAATGATTTATTTGCCTGTTAGTGAAGGAAATAATTTATTCTTAAATTCCTCCTTCCTTCTCCCATCACATTGTACTTGGTACTCAGGCCACTTTATTGAGGAAAATAAAGTCATTCCCAGCCTTTTCCCCTTCCTGACCACCATGAAAGTACTCTAGATTTTCAGTGTTTCCTTGTAAGTTCTTATTTAATATTTTTTAAATTCTGTTGGTGTAGATGGGCTTTGGCAAGCAAAAATTATGCTGAAGGAGATAAAATATTTTTCTTGAGTAATTGTTATTATTTTTGAAATATAAATGAAATTCCTAGATTAAATACAATTCCTAAAACAATCATACACTAAGGCAGATGTTTGGCGAAGCAGTTAAGGTACCATTTAGGATGCTGGTGTCCCATGTAAGAGTCACAGGGTTTGAATCTCAGCTCTGACTCCTAACTCTGGTTTCCCACTAATGTAGACCCTGCGAGGCAGACCACATGGGAGACCTGGATTGAGTTCCTGGCTTCTGGCTTCAGGCTGGCCTACCCTTGGCTGTTGTAGACATTTGGGGAGTGAACCAGTAGATGAGAGCTCCCTCTTTGTCTCTCTCTCTCTCTCTTTTTCTCTACCTCCCTCCATCCAAAATCATATACCATTTCATATGGGGATACTTCAAAAAGTTTGTAGAAAGTGAAATTCAAAGATAAATTTATTTTGGCATAAAAAATTTGAGATCCATGCATAACTTTCCTGATCCGTATTTTTCATCAACTTTTTAAAATCTGTCCTCCTGGCCGGCGCTGCGGCTCACTTGGCTAATTCTCCGCCTGCAGCACCGGCACCCCGGGTTCTAGTCCTGGTTGGGGCACCGGATTCTGTCCTGGTTGCTCCTCTTCCAGGCCAGCTCTCTGCTGTGGCCCGGGAAGGCAGTGGAGGATGGCCCAAGTCCTTGGGCCCTGCACCTGCATGGGAGACCAGGAAGGAGGAAGCACCTGGCTCCTGGCTTCGGATCGGCACAGTGTGCCGGCTGTAGTGGCCATTTTGGGGGTGAACCAACGGAAGGAAGACCTTTCTCTCTGTCTTTCTCTCTCACTGTCTAACTCTGCCTGTCAAAAAATAAAAAATAAAAAATCTGTCCTCTCATGTTTGTTATAGCTTTTATTTTACAATAGACAAGATATGAAAACACACTTAGTGCTCTATAATGGATAAAGAAATATTACAAAGGAAGAAATGGATGGGGCAAACTAAGTACAATAAGCCAGATATAGAAAGAAAAATACTTAAAATGCTATGTGGTCTCATTTACATAGAGAATCGTTAAAAAGCCAAATACTGTACATAGACACAGTGCAGAACCGTGGTTACTGGGGCAGGAAAGGATGATGTAGGTCAAAGTTTTCATCAGCTTTTGAAGGCTCTGTGCATGGATTTCAGAATGTTTTTGTGTCAAACATCTTTTAATTCCAATTTTTTTTAGGATTAATTTTTATTTTTTTGAAAGGCAGAGTTACAGAGAGAGAGAGAGAGAGAGGGAGAGTAAAATATCTTCCATTTGCTGGTTTATTACCTCCAAACGACTATGATGGCTGGGCCTGTCCAGGCTGAAGCTGGGAGCCTGAAACTCTTATCTGGGTGTCCCATGTGGGTGCAACATTCCAAGTACTTGGGTCATCTTCTGCTGTTTTCCCAGGTACATTTAGCAGGGAGCTGGATCAGAATCGGAGCAGTTGGGACTTGAAGTGGTACTTGTGGGATGACTTAACCCACAGAACCACAATGCTGGCCCTTTAATTCCACTTTCTATGAACTTTTTGAAGCATCATCATCTGTCTTCAAAGGGAATTAGCATCAGAAGGCATTTTCTCTCTTTCCTTTTTTTTATATAAAGATTTATCTATTTGAAAGGCAGAGTTACAGAGAGGCAGAGAGAGAGAGAGAGAGAGAGAGAAAGGTCTTCCATCTGCTGGTTCACTCCCTAGATGGCCACAGCAGCTGGAGCTGCACCTATCTGAAGCCAAGACCTTCTTCTGGGTCTCCCACATGGGTGCAGGGGCCCAAGGTGTTGGACCATCTTCCACTGCCCTCCCAGATGATAGCAGAGAGCTGGATCAGAAGTGGAGCAGTTGGGACTTGCACCAGCACCAATATGGGATGCTGGCTTGCAGGTGGCGGCTTTACCTGCCAAGCCAAATGCTGGCCTGCCAAGGCATTTTCTCTCAATTATGACTTGAAAATACAAATAGGAGGTATTTACTCTTAGGCTCATTATAATCTTGGTAGTCACATTTGACTGAGAAATAGTGTGCAGGACAATTTGTTGCCCATGATAAAACTATCAGGTGCTTCATATGTGCCACCTTAAGTTTCCTGACTTTCATCTGTTTCTCTGGAGCTTGGACCTCTTCCTTCCAAATACTGTGACAGCAAGTGACTTTGTGTGACTCCACCACATAGGAAGTGGCAGGGAACTGGTAGATAATCTCTTTCATTTCTGCATGCTGATGAACTGTTCCATGGGAAAGCTTTTTTGTACAGACCATTCTAAGTGACTAGTATGTTTACAAAGTGGCTAATTTGTAATACAGTCCTTGGGTGGATTTTGTTCCTAACCTTACCTGCCTCAGTTCTCTTTTCCACCATTCATACTCTGCTGGGATTATACTTCCCAATAAAGCTTAGAATTTAAGCCTTGCCTCAAGTTAAGTTTTTTTTTTTTTTTTTTAAGATTTAGGTATTTTATTTGACAGAGTTACACAGAGAGAGAGGAGAGGCAGAGAGAGAGAGAGATGTCTTCCATCTGCTAGTTCACTTCCCATTTGGCCGCAAACGGAGCTGCACCTATCCGAAGCCAGGAGCCAAGAGCTTCCTCTGGGTCTCCCATGTGGGTGCAGGGGCCCAAGGACTTGGACCATCTTCTACTACTTTCCCAGGCCATAGCAGAGAGCTGGATCAGAAGTGGAACAGAAGAGTCTCAAACCAGTGCCCATATGGGATGCCAGCACTACAGGAGGCAGCTTTACCTGCTATACCACAGCACCGGCCCCTCAAGGTCAGTTTTAAAGGGAACATTGTTACAATAAGGCTCTGTAAATGTTCAATAAGTTGGATTAAATCAAGCTGGTATCTGGGCTAAATGGTGGCTTTTGTTTGCCATGTCTGTCTTTCTGTGTTTCAGAATAACTTGATGTGTACCTCTGACCACACACCTTGCTGCTGACTCAGGATTGGTAGGTACATTTTGTAGAAGACATTATCAACAAATCAAAGCGTGTTTTACTGACAGGATGTGGTCTGTGAGATGACTTAGAGAAAAATCACATTTGCAAGAGCCTGATTTCACATGGGAAGAGGTAGGGTGACTTGCTCTGGGCTAGAAGAGAACAGCTTGTGAGCCTGAAGTCCGCCTTCTCAGCAGTCAAGACTATTTTCTCCAGTTCTATAAGAACTTTTTTTTTTGAAAAATTATTTATTTATCTATATGAGAGGCAGAGTTACAGACAGAGGAAGAGACAGAGAGAGAGAGAGAGGTCTTCTATCTGCTGGTTCACTCCCTAAATAGCTGCAATGGCCGGAGCTGGGCTGATTGGAAACCAGGAGCCAGGAGCTTCTTCTGGGTCTCCCACTAGCGTACGGGGGCCCAAGCACTTGAATCATCTTCCACTTCTATCCCAGGAGATTAGCTGAGAGCTGGATCAGAATAAGAGCAGACAGGACATGAACCAACACCCATTTGGGATGCTGGCACTGCAGGTAAAGGCTTAACCTATGCCACAGTGCTGGCCCCTTCAGGTACTTTCACAGCTAGAAAACTCCTATGTAAATTCTGGCTTGCATTCTTCCTGAGAAAAAAATTAAGCATTTCTCTAATATCCAGATAACTTTAGTGAATTCTTGCTGTATACATGAGACGTGAAAGACTGAAAATGTGAGGCTACTCCTCTGGGACAAAGACAAAAGAAGGCAATTTTAACTCAGTTTATTACTGTTTCTTTTAATCATTCTCTTGCCTTGGTAACTAAGAATTATTAGAAACTTACCTAGTAACTAAAGGAAAATTAGTTAAGACATTCACGATGTTAAAAAAAAATGATAGTAGCATCTGCTGTATATCTTAGGTATGCCTGCAACCAGGGTCGAGACCTCTGTGCCCTTGGGAAGGCATACAGGCATTAGTACTATTTTTATCGTCATCACCGTTATTAATAATAAGGAAGATTGTTCCAGAAATGAAAGTAGGGAGGCACCAGCTTTGCTGACCTGTATGAAACCTTTTGCAACTTAATGAAAAAAAGACAGTAAAAGACAACATTTAGAGTCTGACCTATTTCTGTGTGGTAGGTATGAAATTAGAGTCAAGTGGCCATATTGGCAGGTAACTTTTCAAAAGTATTATGTAGTCAATCATATCCATGGTGAATGAGGATGATTATAAATTTATACAATTTGACAACTGAAAAGTACGAAGTGAAAAGCCTTGGTAGGGAACTTTAAGTAACAAATCCTGAAAGGTCTGCTTTTATCAAGACACATGTGGGAGAGATTTATTATAAATCAACTAAACAGAGGTATGACTCATATTCAAGGATGTTACTGGAACTGGCAATTTGGAGCTTACCATCACTGAAGGTAATGCTTGATCTTTTCACTGACCATAAAGATGTTTCAGAAACAGTGACACAAGTTGCAGTCAGCAGAGTCCACGGAGGCCACTTGCAGGGACAAACATATAAATGTATTTAAGTGTGTAGTCCAGCAGAGATGCAAGGTTTGATTGGCCTTTATTCTTGATATAAGGGCAGCGATGAAGAAACATTCATTTTGCCTAACATAAAGTCATTACAAATGAGGCAAGAGGGCAGAGGTGCATAAAGAGCAAGAAGTCAGTCTGCATTAGAGGGAGAATGAAGAGATGGTGGGTGCTTTAAGTTGGCAGAGGTGGAATGAGCAGGATTGACGTGCACCATTGCAGTCATTTTTAAATTACCTGGTGGGCAGGGGTTGGGGTCTAAAGTTGCATCACATTGTGAGACAAAGAAAGGGAGCATAAACAAAAGCAAATTAGCAAGCTTCAGGTTCAAGTGCAGGAGAAAGGAAGAAGAATAAACTAAAAGCAGACCACGGAAACCAGAGGCCCTCTCTGTGAAGGGATCCCTTTTTATAGTCCTGGAAGAAGGTATAGTGATGTAGCCCAGTAGGACCCTAATGTCAGTATATGGATTGTTTGTACTAGAATTTCCCAGAGAGCCTTAGAAATACAGATGCTCCTTGACTTAGGCCATTGTGTTGCATCACAATAAACTCATCGTAAGTTGAAAATATTGCAAGTAAAAGTGTATGAATACAGCCAGCCTACTGAACATCATATCTTAGGAACACAGTGCACTACAGAATGTCAGTTGTTTACCCTCATGATCACATGGCTGTCTCTTCTGTTGCTACCCAGCATCAGGAGAGGGAAGCCTACTGTATGGATATGGCTAGCCTGGGGAAAGATCAGAATTCAAAACCCAAGGTACAGCTTCTACTGAATGTATATTGCTTTTGCACCATTGTAAAGTCAACAAATCAGTAAGTGGAAGCATGGTAGGCTGAGGAAGGGAAATTCAGTCTGGGCTGGGTCTTTGTCTAGCTGGTCTTCCATCTCTTTTGTAGGCTTTGATGCAGTAGGTTCTCGATCAGTAATTTTTGATTTATTGAAGATTGTAAAAGGTAGATTGAGTTTGGCCATGGGGTGGGAGAGGAAATTGAGGAGATTGTATCAGAAAGGGTTAACTGACTAGAGATCTTGCAGAAGACCAGTTCCTGGTGATGAAAAAGTCTAAGTGTTTCCTAAGGTATAATGGAGTTAAAATGAGAACTATTGAGAACTTTTGTGATCACCGGTGTGGATGATGCCATTATTATGGGTGCTAGAGACTGTAGGGAGAGAGGAACTGTGGCCAAGATGCTGAAGTTTGAGCACCATGTTTGGAGATTGGCTGGACACAAGATAGAAATGAAAAGAGCATGTAGAGATCATGGAGTGCCTGTCCTGGCTCTGTCTTGTGAGTAAGGTCTCACTGTGGACTTCTGTATTCTTAAACATCCTCTCTTACAGACTTGTAAGAAGCTTATATGAGATTCAATGATCATGAATGTAAAAGCCATGTTGAAAAGATGGACAGTTGATAAAATCTGTCCTAGTGTTCTTTTTGTTTGTTTGTTTGTTTAAACAAGCTCTGGGAAATTGTATTGAAGAAAAGTTTTGCATGATTTATTCTTCATTAGTCTGTTCTGGCATAATTCTACTGATATCAGAACCACGTGGATCAATGATAACCAGTGGGCATATTCTGTAATATTTTTCATACACTGTGCCCAATTCAATATTATTGCCACTGTAGTGATGAACACCTGTTTTGGCCAACATGGCGTAGTACTCTATTTCAGATTTCCTCAAAGGTGAGCAGTTGTTGGCAAGGAAGAGCAGTTTCTCTTTGTTCTGTCTGATCACCTTTGGGGTCTGCTTGTACCCAAGCATCTACTTTCCATTTTTCATGGTAAGTTGGAACCTAGAGTTGATTGACTTGAATGACTTTTTCATCTTTGTGGCCACCATCTTCCTGCCTTAGGTGCAGAACAGCCCTCACCAAGAGCAGCCACAGAGATAGCCAGCGAGTAAGAAAGGAAGCAAGCATCCTTATTTTGAGATCATGCAACACAACTTTTCTTGTTATGATATATCAGTGTTATAAGATTTCCAACAAAATGCATATGTTGGAAAGCTACAGTTTATTTGGAAGCAAAATATTTAAAACCAGTCCTCTATAACCCAAGCAGACAAAAGGTCATTAATCTAAATGATGTTTACCTCTGGAACGAATAAGTCACATTTGGGGAATATGATGCTAATATTACTTTTTTTAGCATCTTTTGAAAGATCCAGAAATTCATGTGTTAAACATGAATATGGAGCTGCTGATGCTGCAGATATACCTCCCACAACTTGATTTTTCTGTCATATCATTTAGGTTAAAGCGTGATATAACTAAGTGGTCCTTTGATTCTGGCATTTCATTTTCAAATGTGTTAGAACTAGGTAAAAAAATTTTTTTTTTTTGACAGGCAGAGTGGACAGTGAGAGAGACAGAGAGAAAGGTCTTCCTTTGCCGTTGGTTCACCCTCCAATGGCCGCCGTGGCCGGCGCGCTGCGGCCAGCGCACCGCGCTGATCTGATGGCAGGAGCCAGGTACTTATCCTGGTCTCCCATGGGGTGCAGGGCCCAAGCACTTGGGCCATCCTCCACTGCACTCCCTGGCCACAGCAGAGAGCTGGCCTGGAAGAGGGGCAACCGGGACAGAATCCGGCGCCCCAACCGGGACTAGAACCTGGTGTGCCGGCGCCGCAAGGCAGAGGATTAGCCTAGTGAGCCGCAGCGCCGGCTAGAACTAGGTAAAATTTTAAAGCTGAAAAACAAAAATTCTGAAGCTGCGAACGTTAGGTTCTATCAACTGGATGTTTTCCTATTTTTTAAAACATGTTTCTTGAGCCATGGCCCATTTTCTGACTTTGGAATATGTCAAACTTGGTACCCAATCTAGGGGGAAGATGAAGTTGCGAAGATTAGAGTGAGCATTTATTTCTTAAAAATTTTATATATTTTCAAAATTTTTACTTATTTATTTGAAAGAGAGCAAGTGAGCACAAGGGGGCATGTAAGAGCCCTGTAATGGCTAGGCACGAAGCCAAGATGTATAAACACTATTCAGATCTCACATATAAGTGGCAGGAACCCAATTACTTGAGCCATCACCTGTGCCTCACAGGGTCTGCATTAGCCAGAAGCTGAAGTCAGGAGCCAGAGCCAGCAATCAAACCCAGGTATTCTATTGTGGGGTGCAAGAGTCTTAATCATGAAGCTAAGTGCCTACCTCATCTAAGCAATTCCTATATTAGTTTTACTTTCCATATTATTGTATCTGCTTGTGGAGTACAATCTCAAAATCTTACATAAATTCAAAGCTAGATTCAAACATGATTTCTGTTAATTAGTCTCTTATCTCTAATTTCTGATACAGTAATTGCCACTAGTTATTTAGGAGACTAAAGAGCTTAAAACATGAACATTTGTTAAAGGAAGGAGATATTCCTAGTTCATGGTGTTCTTCCTTGAAACAAACTTTGGAGAAACTGAAAGTCCACTTCTAGCACCCTAGACCTGGGCAGTATTTATGGCCTAGGACCATCA